TGGCAGCCATACTTCCTCATCAGCGAGGGTGAGCAGGATGTTCCTGTGTACTCCGGCATCATGTGGGACCTGCTGCTGATGATCACTGACAAGATGAATCTCAGGTGTGTGGGAGTGTTTACTTAATTGGAACATAAGAAAATAAGTATAGATGAAACAAAAAAGTCTCCATCCAGGTTCCCTGGTTTTGGTCCTTTGCCTGTTGAGTGTTTCATCTTCATATATTCCCTGGACCATTATGTGTGTCTTAATAATTTTGTTCTTATCCTCATTCGTCGTGGGGTTCAGCTTCTTTATCATGACCTAATAACTCCTGTCTTTCAACTCTATCACCAGCCTGGCGTCATATCTATGAGCTTTCTTCAGCACTGGAATGTGCTTTGTGAGGTGAATGCTTCATGTTTTCACTGTATACCCAATAATTGGTCTAGTGTATGTATTCTACAATGATTCAATGACTCCTTGTTTGGAGTGATATCAATATATATAGGTTTCTTTCTTGAGTCTTTGGGCTACATCCTGAACCTTCTGAGCCTTGTGTTTGGTCTTTCCACAGCAGCCATCTGTATTACCTTAGGGTTGCCCTGATGAACATTATATGCTTCCTGTCAAACACATTTTTAAGGTTTTCTAAGTTATCCTCTTCTTATTGTACTCGTCCATGATACCTATTCCCCTGATTACTATTGTGTCTTCTGTGTACGCCAATCACAAACAGTTGAGGCTCCTTATACATCAAGAATAGAACAGGTCTGAGAATAAATTCACAAGGGCCGTGATGAGGGGTTCGAACTTACGTCCAGGATGATCCCAGACGTGCCTAATCTACTGGGCCACGACATTGTCAAAAGAATTGCAAACGGGATTGTTAAAGCTCTCACGCGGATTCTACAGTTTCTCCGAGACACAAACCGGGGTTTTACACATATCCCCCATGCACTCGGCCTCTGTCAACAAGCTATTCTACCTCTTCGCTCATACTTCATTTCACACAGAAATCACAATAGAGTGATATATCTGATCGTGTGAGAGCAGTAGCACTCCCGGTTGCAATTCTTTTGACCATGTCGTGGCTCAGTCGATTAAGGCTCATCTGGGATCATCATGGACGTAAGGTCGAACCCTCATCACGACCCTTGTGGATTTATTCATTTGATATATCACGCTATTGTGATTTCTGTATGTAACAGATCTATGTTCTACGAATGTGTCACTGATGGGTTAATGCGCTACCCAACTACGACTCTAAGTGGCAGCTTCTCGCTAATATGAAGATTCTTCCCTCACTATGGCCATTGTTGCACACTGGAACGCCTTGGCTGTCACCCCAACCTGTGCCTCCATATTACTGAACAGTCTTGAGAGGGACTGAATCAAAGACCTTCCAGCAACATAATAATACACAGCCTGGCTATCCATCTATGTCTTGCCTGACCTCCTTAATCGTATAGTATTATAACACATTTTTCACGCAAGACCTGACTGAACTGAACGAATTCTTTGTTTCATTAGAAAAGAAATTTTATTTATTAATATTTTTCTATACTATTAATAATTCCTTTTCCATCACATAACATAGTATGCACGTTAAGGAAGATGACTTCCTTAACGTACATTCCTTGTGTGGTCGCTGTCTTCTTTACATTAACACAACAGTATATTTAATAAATAACGTTAATGTCTTCTCACAGACCGAATACTATAGAATAAAATCCACATTTATGTATTTGTGAAATTTATGTAAAGATTTACGCCAAGTCTTTTATACTCTTCCGAGTGTTTTGCCTGAGAATGGGGTATCTAGAAACCACACACTGAGCATGTGAAAGTATTTTCTGGGCATGTACAAATCACATACTCAGACCTTGACAGAGCACTCGGGAGAGTGCAAAAGACTTGGTGTAAATCTTTACTAAAACAAATACGTAAGTGTGGGTTTTTATCCTATAATATATATAATATTCTGGTATCTTGCAGTTCTCCTGTCTTATTTAATTCCTGTGTATACTTGTAAGTATCATGCAAAGGACCTATGAACCAATTTTGTAGCCAAGGTGAGGTCCTGTCTGGGTGTTTGGCCAATAAAAAACTTCCAGAATTCTTCCTTATGTCGTGACTTATCATTTGTTCTCTTGGAATCGTGTCCTTTCTGATCTGCCTTTGGATCATTTTAGATCTTTATGAGGTTTTATGTCACCTTCACAGTATCTCTCTGCTTGACTTCTGACTCTTAAGTATTCCTTCCTTGTCCTCGTTTTGTTGTACTGTGATGTTGTTTAAAGTACTAGCTATATTTATACATTATGATTCTAACTGTTCAACTGCAATTAATTTGTCGGGTTCTTCTCATTACCCCACCATGGGGTAATGGTGAGGGGGCCTACGAGGAGGGGCCTCGTAGCCTGGTGGACAGCGCGCAGGACTCGTAATTCTGTGGCGCGGGTTCGATTCCCGCACGAGGCAGAAACAAATGGGCAAAGTTTCTTTCACCCTGAATGCCTCTGTTACCTAGCAGTAAATAGGTACCTGGGAGTTAGTCAGCTGTCACGGGCTGCTTCCTGGGGGTGGAGGCCTGGTCGAGGACCGGGCCGCGGGGACTCTAAAGCCCCGAAATCATCTCAAGATAACCTCAAGATCTCAAGATAACCATGATTTCAGTGCTCTATTGTATCTGTGTGAAATAATTTTATTCACCTGTAGTTCTCTGCCCTCCATTGCCTTGTCTCCTGCTATCTTTTCACTTTTTATTTTATTGTCATCTCCACCTCTATTACGAATTAATATATATATATAATCGAAAATATTTCACGACATGGGGTCTTCATATAGGACTTCCTTCATTACCTTACGTTGTTATATTCTCATTTGTGCCTCTCGGTGTTAGGAAGTTTGTAGTAAATTGAAATATATATAAATCTTGTATGAAAGTTATCTCTGTTATTTTCTCTGTTGTGATTCTATTGATGTGTGTCTCCAAAGATTTTGTCTACTCCAGATCTTGTTCTCTCACTCACCTTCAGTGAATTATCATTTTATTACGTATGCTCCTCTGTCCTCCTTACTCTCGTCTCCAAACTCAGTTGTTTGCACATTTATGGATTGAAGTCTAGTAGCCATTCGTCTGGCTATTCCTGCAACCTATTTGAATCTTTTTGGAGCCAACAACAACTTTGACACATTTCTGGCACACACGGGCACTACCCTGATCCTTCTGTGACTCAACTTATCACTTTCCTCCAATCCTATATTTCCTCCTTTATTGTTACTTACTATTTTCTATCCTGTTCTTTAGGTTATTCTTCGCCCAATTAAGAACTCTTACAACATGCATTCTTCCGATCTCTCCCCCTTCATGTCTGATCTCAGCCAACCTATCGTAAAACTGCAATATCATTGATTGGTATGATTTACCTTCCTTGAACCCAGGTTTTTACATTGATATGAAGGTTATTCTCTCTAGACGCTCCATTATTTTCCTTATCACTGTTTCTCACTTTGCACAGTAGGGGTGTTTAAAGCACTGGTCAGTAGTTTAATTGCTCATGTCGCTTTCCATCTTTGTTTATTAGTATCACTTGTCCTTGCAAACCTCACCAACGCTGGTTTACCAACGCTGGTTTACCATCGCTGGTTTACCAACGCTGGTTATCAACGCTGGTTTACCAACGCTGGTTTACCAACGCTGGTTTACCAACGCTGGTTTACCATCGCTGGTTTACCAACGCTGGTTATCAACGCTGGTTTACCAACGCTGGTTTACCAACGCTGGTTTACCAACGCTAGTTTACCAACGCTGGTTTACCAACGCTGGTTTACCAACGCTGGTTTACCAACGCTGGTTATCAACGCTGGTTTACCAACGCTGGTTTACCAACGCTGGTTTACCAACGCTGGTTTACCAACGATGGTTTACCAACTTATTTGACTGAGTTCCACTGTTGGTTGGTTCTTTCCCATACTGACAATGTTGTTCTCAAAAGATATCTGTTTTTATTCTAATGCACACATGTTCATTTCTTGTTCTCCTGACTCTATATTCGTTTCTTGTTCTCCTGACTCTATATTCCTTTCTTGTTCTCCTGACTCTATATTCCTTTCTTGTTCTCCTGACTCTATATTCCTTTCTGGTTCTCCTGACTCTATATTCCTTTCTTGTTCTCCTGACTCTATATTCCTTTCTTGTTCTCCTGACTCTATATTCCTTTCTTGTTCTCCTGACTCTATATTCCTTTCTTGTTCTCCTGACTCTATATTCCTTTCTTGTTCTCCTGACTCTATATTCCTTTCTTGTTCTCCTGACTCTATATTCCTTCTTCCTTTGTGAGAGAATGTTCAAGTAGTTTCCCACTGCTGATTCTATGTTGCATGTTGCACAGCTATTGAATGCGCACAGGAGCCTGGAAGCTACTCCTTGTGCTCAGTGCACGAGCATGTGCACGACAGCTATCTCCCTAGGTGTTGCACTAAGACCTTTCCAGTTTGGTCTCTGAATGATCGCTACTAAGCTACTATTACTTAGTAGCGATAACCATGTTGTTTAGAGCAACATGATTATGTTAGGAGGGATGTAGTTGATTCAGGGTATATAAAGAACTCGCTAGCAGGTAGTAATCACGGGAGGCATCTTCCGTCACGCAGGGTGCAGTCGCACCTCCACAGATCTCCAGTATCAGCTCTTGATACTGGTAATGGCTCAAAAGGGCCACCACTTACGGGCTATTCATGCTCGTGCCACCTTTTGGGTGGCTTAATCTTCATCAATCAATCAATCAGGTAGTAATGAATAGGTTGGCACCAGCCCTCCCTCTCTAACAGCAGCTACTTTGGTGAAATGTTTGCCTCCCAGTCAGTGGCCAGGGATGAAGCAGTCAGGTCACCCACCGAGGCCACCCGGGTAACAATCAGTGGCCAGGGATGAAGCAGTCAGGTCACCCACCGAGGTCACCCGGGTAACAGTCAGTAGCCAGGGATGAAGCAGTCAGGTCACCCGCCGAGGTCACCCGGGTAACAGTCAGTAGCCAGGGATGAAGCAGTCAGGTCACCCACCGAGGTCACCCGGGTAACAGTCAGTGGCCAGGGATGAAGCAGTCAGGTCACCCACCGAGGTCACCCGGGTAACAGTCAGTAGCCAGGGATGAAGCAGTCAGGTCACCCGCCGAGGTCACCCGGGTAACAGTCAGTGGCCAGGGTAACAGTGATGTCGTCACCTACCCCCTATGACCTCTGATCATTTATAAGAAGGTCAGCGTGCCCACGCCCTTGTAACCGCGATTCTCTGATTGGTTAGTATCGAGACGAAACCTGGATTGTGGCTCTGAACCTGCCAAGCATTCACAGCCTAGGACGCGGTATGATGGAGGAATTATCACAAGAAAGCGCCAAGCTAGTACGACTATATAGCACATGGAAGGGGTCAGGATAAGGATTTGGGATGGGATGGGGGGAAAGGGATGGTGCCCAACTACTTGGACGGTCGGTCGATTGAACGCCGACTTGCATAAAACGAGACCGTCGTTCTACCGTCTAGCCTGAGTGGTTTGACAGGATGCAGTATGGGAAGATATGTGCGGGATTATCTCAGAGGCCCCAGGGCCAGACTGCATTGCTCTAAGGCCTAGACAACGTCAAGTTAATACTAATTGGTCGCAAATAAGCTACCAGTGGGTGGAAACCCCGCGATCTTACTATTAACAACACATCAAGTGGCATTCACCGTTAAGAATATATGGTAACGGTACAGACATGCAACAGACTGTGTACAGTGCCTTTCATTGTGATTTATCTAAGTTGTCGATAGAGTAAGAGTAAAGTAACTAGATGAGTGAATATTGCATGGTATGCATTGCTTTAATTTGATTCAGTCATTCGACACAAATCTCACGAAGAACAATGGCAGCACATCGTGCAGATTGTAGAGAAGCATATAAATCCGTTTCAAACATAACAAAACTTGCAGAATAAACTGCACATTCTGATAATTACTGAAAGCATTTATATGGACCAGGCCTATTGGGGACAAAGTTGAAAAAGAACCAAATTTAGTAAACTTTTGAGAGGTGTGGAAATACTGAATTTATAACATATTGATCTAATTTCCAATCGTGTGGCGGCAGCATTAAATATTATTTAATTCTGCTCATATTTTGCGTGTAGAGTACTTCTGCAAGGTGTAATAATATTAGATTATATGCATCATAAAAAATCACCTCTATAAGTTTGGGCCACTCATGTGTGTATATGGTGCCTGTGTCTTCACATGTGCATGAACGTGTACATATGTTAAGTGTTTTTATTTATGTATGCTTCTCACGTTATTATTAAGAAATTATTTTAGGATCCAGATCATGCGTCCCCCAGACGGGTTGTGGGGGGTGGAGGACTCCAACGGCTCCTGGAACGGCATGTTGGGTATGATCCAACGGCAGGTGCGTCACTCAGTTGGATCCCAATGTGAGCGTTCACTCCTATAGTCTAGTTGAACCTCTCAAATGTTCTACATCTGCAGTGAATGGAATGAGTAATGCTTTGATTCAATTCAAATGCAAATTAAACTTGACTAATAATGTTCAAACCACACACCAGAAGATACAGAAACGACGACATTCTTCTGATGTGTTGGTTTGTCATCATATTTTCATCCACATTATTGACACATCGTCTGCCTGATACATATGGATAAAATTACATATACATTGTGTGTAAACATGAGTCAAATGTTATTTTTCTTCATGCAATTGTTTAAAAAATTATTTTTTTCTATTTTGATTATATAACATTTATGTAGTAGTAACTTCAGGGTGTTTTACTAGGAAGCGGACATGGCCCTGGGGCCCTTCGCAGTGTCGTACAAGCGCACCAGAGTGGCAGACTTCCTAGCCACCATCTTCGTCCTGCCTCACCGCATATATCTGGCCAGACCCCACGGCTCTTACGGCGTCGGCGACTTTGTCAGGCTCTACAATCCAATGGTTAGCTGGCACGTGTGGTTGGTCACGTGTTAGCCTCCTCTGGCTGGTCTGGTATTACTTGCCCCCGGGTGATGTATGATCGCAAATGTAACAACTCTTTTTCAAACCATGTACAAACCAACTTACATCATATACTTCGACCTCAAATACTAATAAATATTTTCTAAGATTGAAATTGATGTTGAATTTAGCATTATATGTTTCACATACTGTATTTATTCTATGGTATATTTTCATAATGAAAAGAAAAACATAGAGTATCAGCAGAGCAAAACTATTAGCATTCTCAGGCGGCAATCAGATCTCATTCGTTTTCTTAACAGATAATGAAAACAGATTCTTATTTTATTATAGAATGATTTTTGTTTATATATATATATATATGTCGTACCTAGTAGCCAGAACGCACTTCTCGGCCTACAATGCAAGGCCCTATTTGCCTAATAAGCCAAGTTTTCCCGAATTAATATAGTTTCCCTATTTTTTTTCTTATGAAATGATAAAGCTACCCATTTCATTACGTATGAGGTCAATGTTTTTTTATTGGAGTTAAAAATAACGTAGATATATGACCGAACCTAACCAACCCTACCTAACCTAACCTAACCTATCTTTATAGGTTAGGTTAGGTTAGGTAGCCGAAAAAGTTAGGTTAGGTTAGGTTAGGTAGGTTACGTAGTCGAAAACCAATTAATTCATAAAAACTTGGCTTATTAGGCAAATCAGGCCTTGCATAGTAGGCATAGAAGTGTGTTCTGGTTACTAGGTACGACATATATATGTATATATATATATATATATTTTAGGCCACAAGGACCCCTTAACTACTCGATCAACAAGACCTTACAAAGGATGATCACATTTGTGATCTAAGCTTCTTTTTGAGGAAAATGAAATAGCCTCCTGTGAAGGTGGCCAACAAGGTGACACCTTAAACCCCCTTTTTTCTGCTTAGCTATCAAAGAGGTCACTGATAGTCTGACAAGCGAGTTAAACATCTGGTACCTGGATGATGGCACTCTCGCTGGAACCCCAGAAAACAATTTGGAGGATATAAGGAAAATCCAGGAGGAAGGAGCAGCCTTGGACCTCATTCTCAATACATCCAAATGTGATTTAATCTCCTGCAACCCAGACATCAGTGGGCAAATAAAACATGTTTTTCCAGACATTCTCGTTGTCGAATCATTGGACTTCACCCTCCTTGGTGCCCCCCATTAGGCCACAAGCAATCGAGGAGGTAATTACAGATCTAAAGAGAATGATGGACAGGATTGACAAGATTGATGCCATGATTCTCTCTTCCTCCTCACAAGATGCCTATCTCTCTCCAAGTTGACCTACTTTCTGAGATGTTCTCCATCCTACAGCAGCCCTAAATTAAATGTGTATGACACCCTTCTGAGGTCCATACTGGTGAAAATCCTGAACCTGCCATTGGACGACTCTCAGTGAGAGCAAGCAACCCTCCCCGTATGTCTCGGCGGCCTTGGTGTCCGCACAGCCTCCCAGATTGCTCTATCAGCCTTCCTTTCCTCCTCCCATGCATCGCACGATCTCGTAAGAGATATCCAACCTGAATTGCTAAGAAATTGCTAAGCAATTCAGCAGGAATACACGATCCTGCTTCCACTGAATGTTCAAATCAGTGGAATGCTCTTGCACGCATCATAGAACCAACAAAAAACTTAAACAGTCCAGCTGGGACCACCCGCTAGTAAAAAAAATAGCTGGTGCCATGCTCAGAGCTGCAACATCAGAAAAGGAGAAAGCCAGCCTCAGAGCAGTGCGTGCCCCCCATGCAGGAGACTTCCTCCTGGCAGTACCAATGTCGGCAATGGGCACGCCTCTAGATCCAGAATCCCTTCGTGTAGCAGTGGCCCTCCGCCTTGGTGCCCCAATTCACACTGAATACAAGTGTATTTGCAACAGTGTGGAAGTAGACTAATATGGACTGCATGGGTTGCATTGCGGAAGCACAATAGGCTGGCATGCGAGACACAACGAGGTCAATGACGTCATCAAGGGGAGCCTCGTCTCAGCTCAGTGCCCAGCTGAGAGAGAACCTCGCATTCTATTGGACCAAAACCCGGATTTCCCCGCACATCGCCCTGATGCCATCACCATATACTCCTGGAAGGGGGGGCAAACACTTGGTGTGGAACTACACAAGTGTATCCACCCTGGCCGACACCTATGTACACTTTGGTGCTGATCAAGCAAGTGGGGCGGCCAACCACAGGGGAAAAGCAAAATCACTCAAGTACAGGCGATTGGAAGGTCAATACATCTTTGTTCCTATAGCGTCTGAGACGCATGGCCCCCTGGGGCAAGAGTGCCTTGGGATTTCTCTAGGAATTGGGCTCCAAGCTCATTGACGTCACCAGGGACCCAAGAGCTCCCAGTTTTTTTTGTTTCATCACCTCAGTGTTGCGATCCAGAGGGGAAACGCCTGCTGCACCCCTCGGTTCCCGTCCAGAAGCAGAGGAGCTTCAAGAGATCCATAACCTTTAAGCACTCTTTGTATCAAACAATGTATATCTTGTAACCTCTAAACATATAATAAAACAAAAAAATCAAAGGAAGGCGGTGGTAGGAGAAAAGCACCCAGAAACTGTATTGGAGGGGACCTAAACATTCCCTCTAATGCGTTATGTGTGGTTTCCTAATGGGTTAAGGGTCCCCTTCTTCCAGCCAGAGGTGGTACTCCCTTCCCTTTAAAAAACTAAAAAATATATATATGTATGTGTGTGTGTGTGTGTGTACTCACCTAGTTGTGCTTGCGGGGGTTGAGCTCTGGCTCTTTGGTCCCGCCTCTTAACCGTCAATCAACAGGTGTACAAGTTCCTGAGCCTATTGGGCTCTATCATATCTACACTTGAAACTGTGTATGGAGTCAGCCTCCGCCACATTACTTCCTAATGCATTCCATTTGTCAACCACTCTGACACTAAAAAAGTTCTTTCTAATATCTCTGTGGCTCATTTGGGCACTCAGTTTCCACCTATGTCCCCTTGTGCGTGTTCCCCTTGTGTTAAATAGCCTGTCTTTATCAACCCTGTCGATTCCCTTGAGAATCTTGAAGGTGGTGATCATGTACCCCCCTAACTCTTCTATCTTCCAACGAAGTGAGGTTTAATTCCCGTAGTCTCTCCTCGTAGCTCATACCTCTCAGCTCGGGTACTAGTCTGGTGGCAAACCTTTGAACCTTTTCCAGTTTAGTCTTATGCTTGACTAGATATGGACTCCATGCTGGAGCCGCATACTCCAGGATTGGTCTGACATATGTGGTATATAATGTTCTGAAAGATTCCTTACACAAGTTTCTAAAGGCCGTTCTTATGTTAGCCAACCTGGCATATGCTGCCGATGTTATCCTCTTGATATGAGCTTCAAGGGGAAAGGTCTGGCGTGATATCAACCCCTGGTCTTTCTCTCTCTGACTCTTGAAGTATTTCATCTCCCAAATGATACCTTGTATCTGGTCTCCTGCTTCCTACCCCTATCTTCATTACATTACATTTGCTTGGGTTAAACTCTAACAGCCATTTGTTCGACCATTCCTGCAGCTTGTCCAGGTCTTCTTGAAGCCTCAAGCTGTCCTCCTCTGTTTTAATCCTTCTCATAATTTTGGCGTCGTCAGCAAACATTGAGAGGAATGAGTCTATACCCTCTGGGAGATCATTTACGAATATCAGAAACAGGATAGGTCCAAGCACAGAACCGTGTGGGACTCCACTCGTGACTTCACGCCATTCTGAGGTCTCACCCCTCACTGTAACTCTCTGCTTCCTATTGCTTAGGTACTCCCTTATCCACTGGAGCGCCCTACCAGTTACTCCTGCCTGTTTCTCCAGCTTATGCATTAACCTCTTATAGGGTACTGTGTCAAAGGCTTTCCGACAATCCAAAAAAAAATGAAGTCTGCCCATCCTTCTCTTTCTTGCTTAATCTGTGTCACCTGATCGTAGAATTCTATCAAGCCTGTAAGGCAAGATTTACCCTCTCTGAACCCATGTTGATGGGTTGTCACGAAGTCTCTTCTCTCCAGATGTGTTACTAGGTTTTTTCTCACAATCTTCTCCATCACCTTGCATGGTATACAAGTTAAGGACACTGGCCTGTAGTTCAGTGCCTCTTGTCTGTCACCCTTTTTTGTATATTGGTACTACATTAGTAGTCTTCCGTATTTCTGGTAGGTCTCCCGTTTCCAGTGACCTACTATACACCATGGAGACTGGCAAGCAAAGTGCTCCTGCACACTATTTCAATACCCCTGGTGAGATTCCGTCCGGCCCAACACCTTTCCTCACATCCATCTCCATAAGGTGCTTCTTGACCTCATCTCTTGAAATTTCGAACCTTTCCAAGGTCACCTGGTTTGCTGCCACCTCTCCTAGCGCCGTGACTTCTCCCTGTTCTATTGTAAAGACCTCCTGGAACCTTTTGTTGAGTTCTTCAGAGAGAGAGTGTGTGTGTGTGTGTGTGTGTGTGTGTGTGTGTGTGTGTGTGTGTGTGTGTGTGTGTGTGTGTGTGTGTGTGTGTGTGTGTGTGTGTGTGTGTGTGTGTGTGTGTGTGTGAGTATGTGTGTGTGTGTGTCACTGTGTGTGTGTGTGTGTGTGTGTGTGTGTGTGTGTGTGTGTGTGTGTGTGTGTGTGTGTGTGTGTGTGTGTGTGTGTGTGTGTGTGTGTGTGTGTGTGTGTGTGTGTGTGTGTGTGTGTGTGTGTGTGTGTGTGTGTGTGTGTGTGTGTGTGTGTGTGTGTGTGTGTGTGTGTGTGTGTGTGTGTGTGTGTGTGTGTGTGTGTGTGTGTGTGTGTGTGTGTGTGTGTGAGTATGTGTGTACACCAACATTAGGGCTCCATCAAGGAACATATAATCTCTTCTCACAATCAAACCATCACCAGATAAATCTTAACAAGCAACATAATAGCACTCACAGAAACAAACATAACGAAAACCATAATAAATGCAGTATTTCCTCAGGACTTCTATGAAGTGAG